AAAAGAAAAAGAGGGAATATTTTCTTTGACAATAGAAAGAACATTTAAGGAGAGATGACTTCTCTTTTCTCACAGTGACACTAAAACCTTCTACAACTGTCCTGTGGTCTGAGAAACAAAGCTAACCTCTTAGTTTGACAGAGCAGAAGGATGGAAAGCTCCTTGGGTATTTGCTTGAGCTACTCAATTAACCAACCTAGAATGGCTCTATTCTTGATGTCTCACTCTAGGACAAGTCAGTTGAGTCAAGATTGTCTACAGAGTAGTTAAAAACAACTTAGTATATGTGTAGATACAAGGATGTGTTACCTAGATCTCCTCTCAGTATTAGAGTACTTAATCTTTCAGCCACTGCAATATTGCCTCTGTTAGCGGCAGTTGCCTTGCCCGAGGTCATGCCATTTCTTAATGACACATAAAGTGACTGACTAATAATAAGACATCCATTATCTAAGTCAAGTCCCCCTGCCCCAAACCCTAATGACTCTGAGCTTCAGAGCCCCTCTAGGATTGTCTGATGCCTCCATTAAGACCAGCTTCTTCCCTTGTCCTATCCTTTCTCCATCCCTTCTCCCACAGCAATTGACCCCAAGGAATCTCCCAGTTCAACTTCCTATAATGTAGTATCCAACTTAGAGTCAACTTCTGGGGTAACCTGCGCTGTGACTTGGATGTACTGCTGAGCTGGCAGAGTGCAAGAGAAAGTCAGACTCTAGCAGAGAGACTCACAAATGGCAAGCATTCCTAAATATTTGCAAAATAATTAAATGGTCAGTATAGTAGGTCCTCAAGTAATCATTTTATTCAATGTCGATTCACTATAAGGTTGATGAGGGAAAGAAAAAAACAATTCCCATCCTGCTATTTATGGAAAGTTTGCAATTCTCCCTGGGTCTGCGTGGGTTTTATCCCAGATCCCACAGATGTGCACACTGTTTATTGACATGTCTCAGTTACCCCAGCTAGGTGCACGTGGGTGTGAATTGCTCTGTGATGAAAGGGCATCCAGTACACAGTTGGATTCCCCTTGAGCCTAAAGCTGCTGGGATAGGCTTTGGTCACTAGTGACCCTAAACTGGAGTAAGCAGGTTGGAAAGTGAGTGAGTGAGTGAGTGAATGAATGAATGAATGAATGAATACAAATTACTGTCGAATAGTAGACGTGTCTTGGGTCTTTATAGAGAAGTTTGCTGATGGTTTTGTGGCTAGGTGTAAGGCATAGGAATTTAGATCTTGTTTATATCTATTAGCCTGCAGTAAAATTGGTTTCAATATATACCGTTTCACTTAAAGTTACAGTTTCCAAGAACCTATAGATGAAATCAAATAAGAACTTACTCTAATTTAGTTCAAAAATTCTAAGTTCTTATCTTCTTGAGAAAATAAAAAACACTACAGTGACTGCAGTAAAGCACAGAATATGAGAGATAAAATGCCAAGGATTCAAAAAAAAAAAAAAAACCTAACTCAAACCATATAATAAATGTGCAGTCTGCTTTGGAATTCTTCATTAGATGCTTATATCTTGGATTGGTGCTAATGCAGGCTTGTAGCTATATCATCAACAACCTAATTAAGACATTCGTGTTCATCAGGAACCAACCCCCAGCTTCCAACAAGTTTTACTGTGAGACTTCCTACTTGAGTTTAAATGAATGATTTCTGAGCGTGAGCTTCTAGATATTTAGGATTAACAGCTAACAGGTTTGGGCTTGGTTTGCAACAAGTTTCATCTGTCTTTCTGAACACTCAGACCAGGGGATAATAAAAGATGCTAAAATCATCAAGGGAGGGGAAAAAAAGAGGCTAGAGGCTAGAGACTAGAGAAGGGGTGATATGACTTCAACAATGACCCACAGAAGAGTCCCTTTGCTCCACAGATTTAAAACCAAAGACACACGTTTAAGTCAAAACCACAAACTCCAAAGCAGCCAAGTTCATGTCACAGATAATTCTAAAGCAACTTTCTACAGCTTTAAGGTGACCGCTTGTAAGAACATGTCCATAATAGATGTTGTAAACCTTTCACTGCCACCACCTAGCAATTTCTCATCACACCAGTACCACAACTGGGAAGATGTTTTTCAGCATTAACTCAAGTCCATTTCACACAATAAAATGCCTCCACATATCTCAGTGCCCCAGGGCATGTTAGCTTTGGCCATACACATAAACACAGATATGCACACTGACCTTTCCACTTCTTTAATGCTATGAAAAATATGCTCATTCCTGTGGGTTCCTATGAGCTGGCCACTCTTGGGCAACTGTGACCTAATTGCTATCTACAAATCATAGCAGAACATTCTTTGACTTCTACGGAGTATATAGCTTGAATCGTGAGGCAGGCCCTGGGATGCCGAGGCTGCTGTTGACCTGATTACGTGACTGTTTCCATGGTGGTCTTGGGATAACTCTGCCTGTGATAACATCATACTTTTATGATGCAAATATCTCTTGACGCATGATCATGATGTCCCCTTCCCTGTCCCTTGAAAAACTCTGTCCCCGTTCCTATCCTATCCTCCAGACCCTATTCCTCATACCATTGTTGCATGACAGTGTTTACTAGCCTGTATGCTGTCAATAAATGGCAAGAACTTCTGCTCAAGTAGCAGTCTTGCCTTGCAGATCTGCTCCACGACTGCTGTGTCCCTCATTGCATTCCCGCTGCAAAGCGGCAACCAACTTCCTATTGCAACACATTCCAATAAACTGGATCCCATAATCTAGAGAACTTAAACTATTAAAAATAGTCTCAAGACCCAGAATGTGTTCAATGGAGAAGAAAGGATTTGAGATTTTATCTTAAAAAAATCTTGGGTGTGATAAGATCTCAAATTTCTCTTTTTTCTTTAGATGAAAAATAAAGCATTCTATCTGCAAGCATTTCCTGTTGGTTGACTAACCCTAAGCACAGAGGTCCAGAGCTGGAACTTGAGAGTGAAATCTACTAGAGCATGAAGGACGGAGAAATGATCCCCCGACTTTCAAGGAAGGCCAGCCTGAGGAAATGATCCCCCTGCTTCCAAGGAAGGCCAGCCTGAGGAAATGCGTAGAGCAGCAAACACCACCATGGGCAAGAGAAATTCCAGCCTCACGAGTCTATGGTAATGATGAGTGATGAGCTGTCACTAGCATCTTGATTAAACATGCTCAGTTTTGTGATTCCACTTAAAGCTTAGCCAGAAATTCTCTTTCCCAATGACGTTTGCATCTTGTAGGGGACCAAGAAAAATCATCTAGAAGCTTTACTAAACATTTATTTAGAAGACAGATGATATGCTCTGGCAGTTTGTAAATGAATGCAACATTTTCTCCCTGCTTTCTTGTCCCCTCTGGCGTCTTCCACAAGGAGGTAGACTGTGTGACTAGTTTGAATGCAGATCTGAAGACAGAAGGCCATTTATGGGTCACTCTGGAGTTTTTTTAGAAAATCTTCCAGGCACTTTGAATTGTTTAAGTTGAATTTGGGCTTTGCTGCGGTGATCTCGATTTTGCCTCTCCAGAGTCGCAATAGTGTCTTTAAGTGAAAGAGGTCATAGTTGGTGCATTTGAAGTATCCTCTGAAAGTCTTATTCACTCCAGATTTAGCTTTACCCTCAATTAATTTTGACATCACTTCCCCTCTGTGACTTCATGATCAGCATTCCCATAGAAGAAAACCTTTTAATTGGACAATCTAGACGCATCATCCTCACCTGGGTGCCTCTCCTCCCCCACAGAGGAAGCAGAGATGGCAAACGACTGGTCCTTAAAAGCATCTGCCTTGGAACCTTGCAATGCAGTGGGAAAAAGACATATTTTTCTTTTCACTCTGCCTTCAGCTTTGTTTGCTTTTGAGGTCTGAATGTGGAGGCTAGTTACATCCAACCATTTGAATTTAATTTGTCTTTGTACAAACAGCTTGCATTAATTCACTAAACATCGGTTCAAAAGATAAATATAATCATTTCAGAATTTCAACACAAAGAGTATTATTACTACCTCATTAACAATGAAGTGCTTAAAGAAAATACCCAGGCATGCTAATTGTAAGGAAGGTTCAGAGGCCTTTTCTTCCTTTTCCAAAGCTTTGATTCCATCACAGTAAGTAGATAAGTTCTTTGAGGGCAGGCTTTGTCTTGATTCAATTCACATCAACCACAGTTCCTTGAACACAAAATGCTCATTAACACAGTAGGTGCCCAGGGTCTGCTGAACTGTTGGCCTACATTAGACGGAGCTGTGGGTGAGGACCCATCTGTCTTTGGCAAAAGCAATTAGATCAGTTCACTCTCCTAATGGGTTGATACTTAGAGCTTGTCCGGTCATCTATAGAAATTAAGGTGTTTAAGGTGATTGTGGGTCTCTTTGTCTAGGATTCTTTGTCTCTGGCTTTGTTTTTTTCCTGTCCTCCCTCAGCTCTTCCTAGTTACCAATTGTTTTCAACAAAGATAAGTTTCCCTTGCTACCCAAAAGTAGAATGTTTCTATTGGTTATGAGTTTGTAGGGTTGTTTCTGGGGTCAGTTCAATTCAAACTGCACTCTTTCCAGAGCTCCCCAGGCCTTCAAAACTCAGCTCAAAATTGATTTCCTCCAGAAAGTCTACCTATATAAATCTCCTCTCAACTGTGGTTAGTGCATTATTCAACATTCCTTCAATACAACTGTGCTGTGAAGACCCAAGAAGGCAATCATTTGAGATAGCTGAGTTTTCCTGAGAGCAGAGGGTAGACATTTTCAATTACCCCAACTTTATTTTTTTAACTGTAGGTAGAAATCGTTGCCCATTTTTCCGATTTGTTAATCAGAGTTTATGGCACAAAACTCAACCTTTTTTGATGTTGGTGAGTGTCTCAGCCTAGGCTTGTCAGAAGGCAGGGGTTAGTTACATGCTACTGTTTTAGGAGGGGGCCCAGTCCTAGGAAAACGGAATGTGGAAGGCAGGGATGGTTGGAATCTCATGGGCAAGTGTTACTAAGCAGGTCACTTATTGCTATCTCAACCCAGTGGGACCATCTTCAGGGAGGCCACATGGATCATGGAGCCTCAGAATGCTCCCTCTAGGAGGATGGGGGAAGACTGTGTCTACCAGCTCCCCTCACCCACCACCACCTCCTGTGCCTGCCCCCCCATCCTCCCCCACCATACACAAACTTCTGGAGTGTGAACATGGGTGGTGAGAGGTGTCCTAGGCTTCAGCACCAACAGAGCCATACCAAGGCAGGAGTCACACACAGTACAAGTTTGAAGTTTGAGGAGAACACTGGTAGGGTGAGTGAAAATGGTCAGCTGGCCTCTGTGGCTATCACTTGCAGTCTTGAATGCAGGAGGAGCTTGGGAGTGTGGGCTCAGGCCATGCATGTCTGATTGTGGACACCTGGAGTATGGTATGGGCATGCGTAAGTGGGCACACCTGCGCCTGGAGCCCAAGACTATAAGTATGGCACCACTCAGAGACAGAGACAGCGCTGGCAGAATGGCTATGAGAGGGTGAGTGGCTACAGGGAGGCAGGACCATGAGACATCACCAGAGAGAGCCTCCCTGCCTTACCAGCCTGCTGACTTGCCCCACAACACTTGATGTAGAAAGAACATTAGAGCCTGAAAAAGCCACTGAAGACTCCAGGATTCTCTTTCATCCGTCTGCCCAAATCGATAGAGAACCAGCTCCATGCTCGCTGGCATGACAGTGTTGTTGGAATGAATTGACTCATAGTCTGTCAGAGTCACAGAGAGTTCGGCAGAACGAGTGGCCCCAAACCTCAAGACAGAGGATATCTGGGAGGCAGCAGTGGTACCCAACAGGTGTCTGACATGAGAGCTTCAGAAACATTAGTGGGTGCTCTATTTTGCCCATAGTCTGTTGAGGATGAAGACTTCTTGGTCTCAATGACTCAGTTATTGGAAAAGCTGAGTGTTGATATTCACTTATTGACACTTAGTGATTCCCTCTTTATTTTCAGATACACTGATAAGCTGTTGCTTTTGTTTGTCAGTTTTCCCATCTATGGTAGCTTCCCTGCCCCTTTTTACCTTATTTCTCTTACTCTGCAAACAATTTGAAAACCAGGAGTTGAGCTTGTTCTACTTGTGTTCATACGAGGAACTCTGTTTGGGCTCTGAAGGGCCTCTTCTGTGCTGAGCCCCAAAATGCAAAATTATTAGGATTTAGACATCTATTTCAAAGATCTTTATGGCAGTAGAGAGTAGAACATGCATTCTACTATTAGAGGGTTTCATGACATAAAGTGAGTGTGGCACTGAGTATCTACTATCATGCTTTTGCTTATTTATAGGTTCTTGATTTTATTCCAGATAAATGAAATTATTCGGTAGCTGAGTTTCAGATAGGAGAGATACCAGTACATTTAATTTTCACTACACTATATGTGTTTAAAGTTAATGACTTTGTTAGACTTCCTGGGATGTATATGAAACTGCTTTAGCATAAACAGTGAGAGGTAGGAGTATGTGTGTTAGTTTTAGTTTTCACCCTGGGGGTGCATCCTGGTCAGGAATCCACACTTTAGGCATGCTAAGCTAGCACTAAACAAATTCTGAGTTCATAAACCAGAGGTATATACAGGCTTCAACCATATTTCTCTCTAGGAAATATGGGAAATTAATTTTTACTGGTCAAATAAGTGGATATGGGAAATTAATTTTTACTGGTCAAATAAGTGGTTGAGATATGTGGATTGGCTAGAAGCACATACACTTCAGAGTGCTATCACCTAAGGCTTTGCTCCATCCTCTGCCCAACCACCAACAGAAATCTGTTGCTGGTGATACTAGAAGTTGATATTACTGTATCATGTGTTGCATGCAAGGGTTTTTTGGGGGTGCCCAAAAGGACAGGTAACAGGGCTTCATCAAGCTCACGATGAGTTACATAGCTTTTTTTGTCTGTAACTGCTACCTATGAAAGCATATGGTCAGACATGGGATTGTGTTGTAGGGGACAGTCCTGACCTCCTCTTACACTGGAGTCAGCCCAAGTCAATTCCCAACAGAGACAGCCAAATGGATCTCTTGTTGCACCATCTACAATTTTGTAGTCCTGTCACTGTACTGTTTAGAATCAGAGGCACCATGACTACTGGAAATTAATGTTGGTGTGATGAGACCATGCATGAGTGGACAGTGGGATGTAGAACCTCAGGCTGCTGAAATATTCGTGGAGGGATTTAAGCACCACAATGCAGGTGGTGGCATCCATGTGCTGAGTACTTCAGCATCATACATAAATCATCACCCCCAAAGCTGGCTCTCAGCTGTAAGCTATCCTGTGCTCTATAAACTGGAGAGTGAACACAATCCTCCAAGTATTGAAAAGGGGGTTAGGTTTTCATCAGTCTCAATAAATAGAATGATGAATATGACTTGAGAAGCTTATGGTCTAATGAGAGAGGTATACTATACCATATGTATAGTTATCATTACACTACACCATATTATAATGAAGGTGGATTGGTTTACTATAACATGATAAATCTGAAGGCAAAGATATGTCCATGGTTCTATAGACCTGATGTGGAGCAGAGGGGGCACTTAGCTGACCTGAAGACAGTGGATCTCAAATTCTCTGGTCTTAGCACCTGTGTACATTTTAAAAATATAGCTGAGAACCCAAAGAGCTTTTGTTCTTGTAGAGTACATCTATCTTACTTTTTTTTTTTTTAAGATTTATTTATTTCATACAAGAACCAGGGTACAGGTCAGATGTGGGGGAGGGTGAGAGGAGTCACCAGAGACAGAGTGGGGAACAGAACCGGCAGAATGACGAAATACGAGCAGCAGGCGCGACAGGAGAGGTCTGCCGCACCATGTGGGACCCTCGCCGGCCGGCTGGGATCAAACTGGTGCTGCAGAGGCTGCAGACAGCTTCACAGTGTTGTGCTTAACCACCTGTACCACCAGGGGAGGCCCCTAGAATACATCTATCAGTGTTTACTGCATGGGAAATTAAAACTGAGAAATGTATTTATTAATTGATTAATTATTAAATGTTAATATCTGTTAATCACATAAAATTATATAGATAACAAAATATTAGGTATAAAAATATAAATGTATTAACATAAGTACCATATTTTTATGAAAAATAACTATATTTTCCAAGATCAAAAGTTTTGAAAAGTGGTGTTATTTTATATAATTGCACATCTCTTTAATGTCTGACTTACTGGAAACAGCTGAGTTGACACATCTGATTCTGTATTCTGTTGCAGTATATTGTATCAGTTGGGTCTATGAAGAAAATAATGCCACCGCCTGCAGTTACACTTCACAGGAGGACCTCACAGACTCCTTACAAGTTGCTTGAGAACTTCCTGTTCAGAGGCCTGACCTCAGCTTTCTGGAGGTGAGATTTTTTTTTAATAGGAAACACTGGTTTACAACATTGTATATAATTTAAAGGTATAGATCACACCCTTCAGGTGTCTGTTACCACACCACATCCACCGCCAAGGCACTGAAAGTCTCCTGGAGGTGAGTTTTAAATAATAAGACAGCAATCAAAAAGAAATAAAAATAAAAATAAAACGATAAACTCCAGTCATTTGCGGCAGCAGGAAGGGATTATGCTAAGTGAACTCAGCCAGAAGGAGAATGATACATATAGGGGATGGTTTCACTTATATGTGGAACATAAAAAATCAAAGTGTCAAAGGCAAAGATAAACTTTAAAACCTTTGGAATTGACCAGATCTTAGGCTTTCATAGGGGGAGGGAGACAGATGAAAACAGGAAAGTAGGGGTTGGGGGAGGAGATCACAAGGGACTATGGTGGAGGGCTGTGAGTGCTTTGGTGGAGTGAGGCCTATGTGACTACATGGAAGGAGTATTATACCCTCAAAACATTAACAAGGATGCAAAATAATAATACTTCAAAAAAAATAATAACAATGACCAGCTAGCTCTCTTGTCCAACTGTGACTATGCAGGTGTTTCTTTTCACAAATCTTTTCCTTTTGCAAAGCAGCAGTGGCAGCTCTCCTGCCCACCTGTAACTATGCAGATGACTCCTTTTTTTTCTCCTTTTCCTAATAAATCCATTCTTTTAAAATGCAAAATAATGATAATAAAAAAGAAAAAGGAAGGTTAAAAGCTGGAAATCTAATCGTGACAAGAACGTTCTAGGAGGGGGTTTCTCAGTCTATCACTATCCACCTGAATTTCTTGGGGCTTGGGTTGGATCTTGAGATCCTGTATTTCTAACAAGTTCCTGGTGATATTTATGTTGCCAGTCTTGCAACCCTGCTTTCAGTAGCAAGGATCAAGACCGGAGAAAGAGAGGAGCAAAGTCATAGTGTCATGGAACAGCCTGAAGTGTGAGGTGAATGGCATAGCTAGAGAGTGAAGTACAAGGTAGAAAGGGCCAAGAGAAATGGCAGGTTAGAGATAACAGTTTTAACTTTCCTAAGAGGAACTCATGAAAAGATTTTTAAGCAGAAGTTAACGTTGACTCACGTGTAAGAATAATTTCTTATTCTGAATAATTCAGAACAGCCATAAACATAGAGCGCACAATAAGGCAGGCGACAGGATGAAGTGCTTAGAAGAAAGATAAAATTCTCTATGAATATGATTACAACATAGCTTAGAAAAGAGCATGTGCTTTGGACTAGAACAGAGTTTGTTTAAATTCCAGCTTTGCCATTACCAAATGTTATTGAGTCAACTTATAAGAGTCTATTATATGTAAAGATTTGAGAGAGATAAATTGCATGCACAGAGAAGTGCATAGTACACACTCAAAACACTGAAATCGACATGATGAAGAAAGTTGTAGCAAATAAAAAATAACATCTGGAAGCTATTTTTGTTATTCTAAGGGCAAATGTAGGTTTGAAACAAGATAACTGAGCTTATTAGAATTTTGTATTTTTGAGAGTAAAATGATAATGAATGAAGATCTAACAGGAATCACCTAAAAGTAAATATTCTGCCCATTTATATGTTATACAGAGACTGCCCAGAGTTATCCAACATACGAAGGAGGCAGGAACATATTAGATGCTGACAATTAGAAGATCCTCAGGCTCTATGTTAATCATCCCTTTTCAAGAAAAATGGCCCCCAATTTCAATACAAAATTTGATTGGTTGAAATTTAGTTTCTTTCTGGTGGATGATTCAGATAACAATGGGCAAAGTTACAATGAACACAAAGGAAATAAAATTATGCTTGCATATTAAATAGAAGCCATCACACATTTTAAATCTCTCTGCCTGGCTATCTGAATTAGTTCTTCCCTAATTTCTGTTCCCCTTTTTCTCTGACAACACTTGGCCTTCAAGGATCCAGAAAACCCCTCACCACCACCTGGGATTCTGAGACTCTTAATACCTCCTTTTTGCTCAGAAGCATTAGTTATTATATCACACACAATGTGCTGCATTCTCTATCCACTGAAGCAAGTAATGGCACTTAGATTGTTTGTAAAGAAAGTTGTCATTATTGTTCTTAATTGTGCAGAATTTGAAAGTCTGTTTATATACCTTGGGGGGCGGGGGGAATCGATATGGTTTCTCTAAATCTCTTCAAAGTTAGGACATCTAGACTTTGTTCATCTCTGTTTCAGAACCAAAGACAAGTAAGTTTTTAAGAGAATGTCAAATGTCAGAAGAGACAGCACGCTTCAGTTAAATCAATGAGCATGTTTTGACAAACCATATTAACTCAACATTTTGTATCTGTGCGACAGATCTGTGATTGTTTCACATGAAAATAGGCGGTGTGAAGAGAAGTGACTTGGACTGGGAGTGAAATCAAAGCTGATTTCTGACAACTATTTCCTCAGTTGGGCTGATGGTGATTATATTAGTCCCTCTTTTCCTGGGGGGGTTCATCTTTTTTAATCGTTATTATTTCAGTATCTTAGCCTAAGAAATTTGACTCTTAAAACCCCTTTGCAATGAGGTACTCTATCTGCAGGGATGGAGCTCTAGCCTATGCCTATATGCTCATTCATCCAGTCATTTATTTTTTAAATTTCAGAATCCATGCAAGTCTTGCCTGCAGAAAAGCAAGAAGGGAGAAAGGCAAATTTTTAATTTCTACAGCTGGATTCATCAGCCATCTCAGTGGTGCTGTCCTTTGGGTCCTCTGACTCCTGCCAGCATGCCTTTGGGCAACAACCTCAATGACATCGCCCCTAGGTGTGTCGCCTACTGGCATTCTGTGAAGTCTGGGCAACCTGACAGTTCCTGCTGTGCTGGAGTATCTAGGGCGGTAGGAGAGGTGTCTGCACATCCACTCCCTGTTTCTCTCACTCTCTGTGGTAAAAATACAGCGATTCCTGCTGGCAGTAACAACAAAAATTATAGAATGTCTAGGAATAAACCAAATGAGAAAAATGTAAGATGTATATTTAGAAAACTACAAACATTTACTGAAGGATGTAAAAGAGGCTGCAGGAAAGGGACAGACCCTGTATCTGGAGAATGAGAGTATCAGAAGCGCCCTTGCCCTGCTGGCATAAAGAACCATCCTGGGCCTCCCCTGGTGGCACAACGGTTAAGCTGGGCTGTGAAGCTGCCAGCAGCCTCTGCAGCGCCAGTTTGATCCCCGGCCGCCAGCGAGGGTCCACATGGCGCGAGGACCTCTCCTGCTGCGCCCGCTGCTCCCCTCAGCAGTGTATTTCGTCAGTCTGCCTGTTCTGTTCCCCGCTCTGGCTCTGGTGAATTCTCTCACCCTCCTGCGCTTCTGACTGTACCCAGTGCTTGTATAAATAAATAAATAAATCTTTAAAAAAGAAAATGAACAATCCTGTCTCCACGCAGCCATCCTACCCTGGAGCCTTGATAGTGAATTCCTTGTGCTCTTAATAGAATCATCAACTACAGTGTTACTTTCACATATAGATTTAGAGGTCTCTGGCTGTTTGATAAGTATGTGTTTTTTCTTCACAACTAAAGAAGAGTAATGCAAGGACTATCTCTTTTCTTCCCTTTATAGCGTCCATATGCCTCATTACAGAAATGTTTCTATGTACAAATTTTTCATTTAAAGATGTTTGCAGGTGTGAGCAAAGCAGGGAAGGAATGGGCACCAACTCTGCCCACCGCCAGCACTGGGTATTAGCAGCCACAAGCTATCATCCTGCCCCATATTGCTTGTAAGTTGGGGGTGTATATGGTCCCTGGGTCTGTATTCAGTGCTGAGAAATTTTATGAGCATCAATGACATCACCAGTTTGAAAAGCATAAAAATCATGAACAATAAAAATCACAAAATGTTGCTAAAAAGAGACACACAATTAGATAGAGACAGACAATTTTCAAAACAAAGTGATGAGGGAATGCCAAATGCTGCAGGGTGCTTATGGCTCAGCAGGAGTGATTCTTAGGACCTAGGGCCAAATAATGATCAAAGAGGAAGTATAGGAATTGGCAAAATGAAAAAAGCCACTCTTTGAGGTTGTAGCTAAATGTCAGCAGCAATGAGAGATGCCTGTTGGCCTATACTTTGTTCATTCTGCTAAAGACCAGGTGTTTATGAGTGAACACAAAGCCAGAGTGTGGTGAAGGGCTGTTGATGAATCTGCTGGAAGCCAAGAGGGGCTCCAGAGGGATAGAGTGGCTGGGTTCAGGCTCATCCAAACCAGCAAAACCTCAAGTGGCTGACAAGGTGGCAAATTAGGGGACTGTGGATGTAGGAGGATGAAAGGGGCCCATAACACAGGCAGTGCAGGCTAGCATGTAATGGAATAGCATACTCCTGGTTTTAAAGCTTTGAAGGTTCACTTAGTTTTTCATTCATGGCGATGCATCTGGTAGCTTAAAACCCCCTTAATCACTTTGAACTTATGAAAAACAAAGAAACATAGGAATAAATAGGTTTTTAGAATGTAAGATCTTCATAAATGAAGTAATTTTCATATAGCACTATATGTGTCGTTAATGATACAACTATTTATGGCATATCTCCTCTGTGATGGACACTTTCATATACATTAGCCAATTTATTAATGCATTAATTTTATAAAGCAGATATCAGCACTATCACTATTTTATGGAGAAACAAAATCTCATAGAATGGCAAAAATGGAATTTTTTGAATCTAAGACTATTTTTCCCTTCCATAGCTGCCTCTGGTGTTGACTAGATGATTAAATAACTAACCTAGTGCTAACATAGGTTCTGATACTGTGTATCCTTCACATATTTTTAAAAAATAGCTTGGTTTCTGAATGTATGTCTGTTCTTTATATGTTTTTTTTTTTTTTTAATTTTTTTTTTATTATTTTTTTAATTTTCTAGAGGCATGTCTTATTTATTTATTTATTATTTGTTTGTTTGTTTGGTTTATACATGCACTGGGTACAGTCAGAAGCGCGGGAGGGTGAGAGAATTCACCAGAGCCAGAGCGGGGAGCAGAGCAGGCAGAAGGACCGAAGGACACTGCTGAGGGGAGCAGCGGGCGGCAGGAGAGGTCTGCGCGCCATGTGGGACCCTCCTCCGGTGGCCGGGGAGCAGCCGGGGATTGAACCGGCTGCAGAGGTTGCAGGCAGCTTCGCAACCCAGCGCTCAACCGCTGCGCCACTGGGGAGGCCCTGTTCTTTATATGTTATATATATATGTGTGTGTGTGTCTGTGTGTGTGTATATACACACAAAAATGATGCTTTATAAAATATCATCAAGTCCCACTGTTGTGTGTGTCTCTTCAGACCTTCAAAATACCTCCAGAAATACCTTCAGGAATGTGGCATCAAGATGCCCTTTTTGGAGTGGTTTTAATGAGTATAAAACAAAGGCAAATAGAACACTGCAGGAAAGGTTACTTTTCTTTTCTTTTTTCTTTTTTATATTTTTGATATCATTTTTCATTTTTGCACAATGTATGCATTTTCATCTTGGTTATAGTCCCCATGCAATTCCCACCCCCCCTTTTTTTTTAATCCTACTCCCTCCTCCCCAACCCCTGTAGTGTGTCTCTGGTTTATAGTTGCTTGTTGATTTTGATTTTTACTTTATTATAATTAGTCTTTTTCCTGATACCTTATTTAGGTTTTCTAAATTCCTGCTATGCTATTTAGGTTTTCTAAATTCCTGCTTTCTAAATTTCTAGCTTATTTAGCTGAACATGATCCTTTCCAGCTCCATCCATGTTGCTGCAAATTGCATGAGTTTATCTTTTTTGATTGCTGAGTAATATTCCATTGTGTATATGTACCACATCTTCTTGATGCAGTCATCTATTTTTGGACATTTGGGTTGTTTCCATAGCTTAGCTATTGTAAATAGTGCTGCTATAAATGTAAGGGTGCAGGTGCCCGTTTGAATTAATGTTTCTGTGTCCTTTGGGTAAATACCTAGGAGTGGAATTTCTGCATCATATGGAAGCTCCATCTTTAGCAGGTTGAGGAATCTCCACACAGCTAGGAAAGGTTACTTTTCAATATGCATCCTGGAAGCAATTCACAAAGCATCTCATAGATTCACCTTGTGGTTGAGGGCGCTTCCTGCCTCTGGACATCTTTTCATCAATTAAGAATAGAGAAATGGTTGATGATTCACTCAGGTTTGTTCAGCAAGGGTTTAATTTCTGTAGTGCTCATGTGTAAATTGTGCCACAACAAAAACTCAAAAAATTGTGCCAATATCTCAACCTAATCATTCCATGACACGTTCAGTGGGCTATTATGTGGTGAGATGGGGACTGAGGAATTAGAATGAGTTATGTCAAAGGAAAAGCTCACTAGTTGCTGTGATATGACAGCTTGCACCTGACTAATCTAAATATTCATTTTGGGTAATAGAACAGCCATCAACGAATTCATTACTTAAGACAATATTTTTACTTCGACTGTCAACTGACAAGGGGTCTCCATAATACATTGCCATCAGCAGTTTGCATCAGTAAGAGAGAAAATGTACTTGAATTTCAAAATGAATCATGCTCTTTCTATTTTGAAAAGGGACTCATCCTCAAAATTTTTGCAAAACAGCTGTCAGAAGGACATTAACCTCATAAATTATTTCATGGCAAGAACTGCAAGTTGGATAGTAATGGATTTGTTTCCAGCTAACCAGTCTGATTTACATCAACTACATGAATTTGGGGCTTCAGATACCTCTTGTTTAAACAACCTCTCCTATATTTCCTTCTAGCTTAGCAATAGCTGGATTTCCTTAGAAAGAAAGTCTTCCATGAAACACTAAAATGACTGTTATTACCCAAAAAGTAATATACCCCCCACTCAGAGCACTGGGAAGTATAATAATGAAAAATATGTAACACACCCCAGGTATTCATTTGCCTGACCAGACACCAAATTCTTTGAGATTTTTCTATCTTCTTGTTCCATGAGAGGCAAGAGGATTCTGGAAGTAAAGTGGACTTTGTCATCTTACTTTGTCAGATCTTTCTCTTCAACAAAAAAGAAAGGAAAAGAGATAGTGTCTTTGGTTTAGATTTGTGGGCAAATCACTGTATATTTCTTCTAAAAAGCAAATGACTAAAAACAGACAAATACATGTTTAGTTCACTAGTAATCAAAGATTTGCATTAATTGTGACAATTAGTATCAAAAACTGAGAGTTTGACATAATTTTCACTGAGCAATTCTGATTTTAGTCAAAAGAAGGTATCACAGTTATGGTCAAATTTTATGGACAAAGTTTTTCATAACATTTTTATAATGATTTTTAAAAGGGGTAAAAATCTTTCAATGTTCATCAGAAATAGTTATGACACCCTCACAATTAAAGATTAGGTGGTCATTAAAACAGGAAATATTTCACAATATTCTGTTAGGTGAAAACTGCAGATTATAAATTTGGATGCAGCGTTCTGCTTCCACTTAAGATATAGAAAGTCACAAGAGAATGTTGTCCATCAGGACAATGAAAAAAGGCTGGGTAGTATAAAAAACAAACAAACAAACAAACAAACAAACAAAACACTTTCCTTGAACCGATCAGAGAATTGAGGACACAAGGCAAATAAATAAATTGAATTTCAAAGAGTGATAAGCCCATTCTTGAAATGCTTTACTTTTGGCAGAGCACAGAGAAAGAGGAGGTCACCATTAAAGTAACTAAGGAAGAAAATCAGCTTAAAATGTAATGACTTCTTAAAGACCAAGTGTGGGCTGGTGTGTCAAAATTAAAGGTCTAGAGTCTCAGAGGGAATTTGTATTCACTCTCAAGGCTCACGAGAAAAGTAGAAGCAAAGTAGGAAACTGGAGCGAGCCCTCTCCACTCCAGTACATAGACAAGTAGGAGGTGACAAAGCCTTGACTTCTTCCCTGGAGCCCTCTCTTGCAAGGCAAAAGTCCTTAAGTTGCTGGGGGAAAGCAAAAAAACCACTATGGCCTCTAGGACCTAAACTCCATTGTTTCTGGAAGAAGAAAAGAAGCAAAACCTGCTTATTGCTGGGAAGGGATAGGAAATTCTCCCCAGATATAGAAAAGGGACTATTGCAGCTAAGGGAGGGATAAAAGCAAAAACCTATTCCCTTGGCTTCTGCTGAAGGTCTTTCACTGCTCCAAATCACAGGTCTTCTATGGCTAGGGAGAGGCACGAAAACTCAGAAAGCTATAACTCCAAGGTGTAGGCACACAGGGCTTGCCTAAGACTGACACAAGCCAGGGCAACAAAGAAACTCTTATCTCTACAATACACTACACACACAGAAATAAGCAATAGAAGTCCCCCGCACCTCACATTGGGAGAAGGAGCATAGAAAGACATCTCTTCCATGTTGCAGGTATATAGGGACTCAAAGGTGAAGGTCAAGCTTTTATACTTAGAAATTCTTCCACTCTAAGCATGTGGTGACAGGAGCCATCCACTGTGATGCAGGTAACCAGACAGGTAACCATAGCAACAACAAAACCCAATCCCAGCTTATCCTGATTAACTGACTCAGCCTCTCCCCAGTCACCCACACATGTACTAATAGTGTGAAAGAATATCTATGTGCCCATTCTCAGAAATAAATATTATTATCACAGTCTCTCTGTTCTTCTAGACATAATGTCTAGCATATAATTAAAATTATGAATCATACACCTGAGAAAAGAATGAACAATGATGTAAAAAGTATATAAATAATAAAAAGGAAAAAAAAGAAAAATTATGAATCACGCAAAAAATGCAAGGAAAATAAACATTATCAAGACATAAAGCAATGAACAGAATCAGACTCAAAGATGACCCAGATGTTACAATTCCATACAGGGGCTTTAAAATAACTAAAATCAGTATGTTGAAGAAATCTGATGGAAAAGGTGGGTGATATACATGAACTGGTGGGAGATATCAGTAGACAGAAAATATAGAAGTAGCAAATGCAGGCGCTATACATAAAAAACAGAATCAGAGAAGAATCCCTTTGATAGGCTCATTAGCGGACCAATCATTGTTGGGAAAATAATGAATGAACTTGAAAATATGTCGATGGGAATTATTCAGACTGAAATGTAAAGGTAAAGAGGAATGAATTAAACAGGACAGCAACCCCAACAGCTGTGGAATGATGTCAATTTTTCTAACATTAATCATTAGCTTCCCAGAAGAAAAGAGAGGGAAAATAAAGCAAACATACTAGAAGAGATTACTGAGACAGGAAGTGTTCCAGGACAAGTATCTAAGATAGGAATCAAGGACAAATTTTGCAAGAATTTTGCTGTTCCCATGGGGTGGTAAACAAGAAGTCAAAAACCCGATGACACTAGGCCCTCATACTCCTGCCATAAATTCCCTTAGCTGATCTGTGTTGTTGTTTACCATGTGTGAGTTATCTTTCCACAGCTTTTCAAGTTGGCTACTATGAGAAGAAAAGAAATCTGCAGATCCAGGAGAAAAAGAGTCACAGATCTTGAGACCAGACCATTTCACACTGGACCTGTGGGCACACAGTCTCAGCGAGATGGTCACCTTGGAGATGGTCACAAGCCCTGAACAACCACTGAGCTACAGCTGATTGGCGTCCACAATTAGCAACAGCAAATATACTTCAGCCAAGTCCACTCTCCTCACTTTCTTAAACAATAAAGTTCAATTCCTTTGCTCCCAAGCTTTAATAAAAAACCTATATAGGGACTCCCTTGTAGCACAGTGGTTAAAGACAGTGCTATCAAGCTATCGCCAGCCACTGCAGCACGAGTTCTATCCCAGCCAGGGAGCTGACCCACATGGCACAGCAGACCTCTCCTGTCTTGCCCACTGTTCCCCTCAGCAGTGTATTTCAGTTGATTTACCTGTTGTGCTCTCCACTCTCTCTGGTGAATCCTCCCACACCCCACACCTCTGGCCTGCACCCCGTTCTTGTATGCATAAATAAATAAATAAATCTTTTTTTTTTTTAAAAAAAACCTATATAGGGCCTCTCCGGTGGCGCAGTGGTTGAGCGCTGGGTTGCAAAGCTGCCCGCGGCCTCTGCGGCGCCGGTTCGATCCCCGGCTGCTCCCCGGCCACCAGAGGAGGGTCCCACATGGCACGCAGACCTCTCCTGCCGCCCGCTGCTCCCCTCAGCAGTGTACTTCGTTCCTTCTGCCTGCTCTGCTCCCAGCTCTGGCTCTGGTGAATTCTCTCACCCTCCCGCACTTCTGACTGTACCCAGTGCATGTATAAACAAAACAAACAAACAAATAAATAAAACATGCCTCTATTAAAAAAAAAAAAAACCTATAAAGACCCCTAGCCCTGGCATCTCTAGCCCTGGCATGTCTCTCTCATGCCCAGAAGAGGTGTTCCCAGAAATTTGTTTTCTTTCTCTTTTGCTATCAATAAATGTTAACTCCTTACCTGCCCTCATCAGTGTCTGTGGGGTTCTCTTTTCAACTCTGACCAGAGGGGATCTCAAGAGCCCTTTCCCCAGCTTGGGAGCTGGACCCCTCTGTCCGTCCCTCCAACTCTGAGCAAGTACAGCAATGGACAGTGACTGGTTTGCTCGTGGCTTATCTACCTCTGTGTGGATTGGACTGGGAGGCAAACAGGCCTGTTCCCTTACCCAGTGATATAATGACCAAGAATTTTCTAAAATCAATTACAAGTCACAGATACAAGAAGCCCAAAGAATCTCAAGCAGAGTAATTTTCCATCCACCAAAAACAAACAAACAAACAAAAAAACTAAGCTCATCAGAGTCAAACTGCTGAAAGCCAAAGAGAAAGAAAAAAATCTTGAAGGCAGTGAGAAAAAAGAAACATTGCATTATGAGGAATAATGAGAAATAACAAATGCTGAAGAGGATGTGAAGATAAAGAAACACTCTTACACTACTGGTGGGAATGTAAACTGGTCCAACTACTATGGAAAGCTGTGTAGAGGTTCCTCAGAACACTGAAAATGGATCTATCATATGATCCAGAGATTCTACTCCTAGGACTCTACCTAAATAACACAAAAACACCAATTCATTTGGTTGTATTCCCCATACAATTGTGCCCCCACCCTTATTTTGACCCATATCCTTCCTCTCCCTGCCCTTCCCCCACCCCGTAGTGTGTCTCTGGTTTATAGTTGCTCATTGATTTTGATTTTTACTTTGTATTAATTAGTCTTTTCCTGGTCTGCTATTTAGGTTTTCTAAATTACTGCTATGAGTGAGACCACCCAGTATTTTTCTTTTTCTTTGACTTACTTTGCTGAGCATGATCCCTTCTAGCTCCATCCATGTTGCTGCAAACTGCATGTGTTTATCTTTTTTGATTGCCGAGTAATATTCCATGGTGTATATGTACCACATCTTCTTGATCCAGTCATCTATTTTTGGGCATTTGGGTTGTTTCCATAGCTTAGCTATTGTAAATAGTGCTGCTATAAACATAGGGATGCAGGTGCCGACAAATGATGTAAGAATTATATAAAATAAAGTATTAAAAAAAAGAATCCAAAGCAAATATGGGACAATGTTAAGAACACTTAATTTTGGATATCTATATAAAGGTATTTATAGTATCATTAGCTTTTCTTTTAATTAAAAAAAAAATCCTCCCTTAAAAAAAATACACTAATTCAAAAGGAAATTTGCACTCCTATGTTTATTGCGGCATTATTTACAACAGTCAAGATATGGAAACAACCCAAATACCCCAAACAGATGAATGGATCAACAAGTTTTGGTATACTTACACAATTGAATATTACTCAGCAATCTAAAAAGACAAAGTCGTGCCTCTGCTGGTGGCGCAGCAGTTGAGCGCTGGGCTGCGAAGCTGCCCGCAGCCTCTGCAGCGCCGGGTTGATCCCCGGCCGCCTGCGAGGGTCCCTCATGGCACGCAGACCTCTGCTGCCGCGCCCACTGCTCCCTTCAGCAGTGTGCTTCGGTCTTTCTGCCTGCTCTGCTCCCCGCTCTGGCTCTGGTGAATTCTCTCACCCTCCCGCGCTTCTGACTGTACCCAGTACTTGTATATATAAACAAATAAATCTTAAAAAAAAAAAAAAAAAGACAAACTCATGCCACTTGCAGCAACATGCATGGAGCTGGAAGGGATTATGCTAGCCAAAATTAGTCAAAGGGAAAAAAATATCGCATGGTCGCACTTATATGTGGAATATAAAGAAACCAAACAAAAGGTCAAGAAAAAGTCAAAACTAGCAGCTGAGCAAAGGAGGGGACAGGAGGGGGGTGCAAAACAGGGGAAGGGTGAACACAATGGAGTATGGTGATGGTTTACAGGAGATGTGGTGGCATGAGAACTATGGGGACTACAACAATGTAAGAAAAAAAATTAATTAATAATAAAATAAAATACCTCTACAAAGCTTAAAAAGTGAGGAATAATGACAAGAATCACAGCAGACTTCTCAGATATGCAAGGCAGAAGACTTACAATACTGAAATAAATAAACCAGACAACCCATAATTTTATATCCAATAAAAATACCTTTTAAAAATGAAAGTAAAATAAAGAACTTCTGACCAACGAAAGCTGAGAATTTTTGACTATTAGATATGTGCTACCAGAAATGCTAAGGGAAACTCTTCAGACAGAAGGATCATATCAAATAGAAGTTAGGGCACAGTCACATGCACTAAAGAGACTGGAGACGTAATAATGAAGGCAAATACTAAGTGTCTTTTCTTATTTTGATCACTGTCAAATATGTATACAGTATGAGTACATTTTTATTAAAAATGGCATAGTATGTTTCATTAAAAAATTTTAAAGGATATACTGCAAAATTTTAATTGCCTTAATTCTGAGTAGAAAAATTACAAATTATTTTATTTTATTCTTCATGGTTATTTGCATTTTCTAAATACTCTGCAATGAATTCATAATACATTTTGTACTAAAAATGGAACTTTTGTCTTATATTCTAAATATTTTTAATATACAGATTTCAAGATCTCTGAGGTTAGAGAAACTGAATAATTGTTTAAATTATTTGAAGAAATAATAATTAGAAAATGGATTTTCTGTTATGGAAAAGTTCTCTGTTTTTTCCCCCTACTATATGGGAAAGAGGAAGAAATAACAATAACAGAGCTAACATTTTAGAGAATAAATAAGGATTAAATAGCTTCTTATGAGGGTTACTGCTGCTCTCTTTTCTGATTGAAGTCTTGAAACTAGCCTCATATCCATGCTTTGAAGGATTATTTATTCCAAGAAAGTATCCAGGATAGATTAGAAGACTATTTTCTATATCTTCTAGAAAGAGAACCAGGAATTAATGATATCCAAATATTAGTGAGAATGATATCTACTTGCACTAAAATAGTTCATAAACCCAAACTTTCTTTGTCATGTATATAATTATTTAAAACTTACAATTAAAACTAGCTAAGGTTTTTTTTTTTTACCTTGATAATAAAGCAATCTTTTTCTAGGTAAAGTATAATTTAATGCAAAATATGCTGTTCTTTTCTGACTTGATTAATCAAGGTCATGGGGGCCAGGATATTTGGAATTCAAATCCAGAATTCAGATACCACTATCTACTGACAGTTATTGAAAGAATCAGAGATTATGTGTATAAATATATAATGTATGTACAGTAGGCAGTTAATAAATGGTACTGATTATTGTCTACTGAAGTGAATCAAAGATGCATGAAGGTGCCTTTATTTCCATAAACAGTGAAGCTTAAGATAACACTTTGCAAACAGCAGCTCCAGAATGCATTGTCACCTGCTGATTAATATGTCTAACTTGCTAGTGAGTGAAGTATTTCAAATCCAGACATATGAGAAACTGTCTCATCTTGCCAGGGGAATTTTGCACATAAAAATGGATGGTTAATGTGGGAAAAGAAAAAGACTGCAAATGCAGTTGATGTGTTTTTAGTGTTTTTATAAAGAGGAGAGAGAAAGAGGCTCCCAAAGGTCTAGTAAGAAAAGTACCTCTACAGAAGCAATCAAATGACATTTGACTTGGAAAATTTTTTAAAGTCAAAATAAGCTATTGAAATATGTAGCTCACTGGTTTCTCCCCTGTCCAAATTTTTGACCAGTAAAACAGGGAAATTTTGGTGTTGATGCTGTCTGTAACCTCAATATTGAATCATCTCTGTCCTGTATCCCAGAGTATAATTCAGCTGTTTTCGCTACAGTGATCAAAGTCTCTTTAGAAAATGCAAAAGTTTAATAAGAATCATTAAAAGATGTTTTACCTTTTCCATTGACATATAACAAAAAGGATCTAATTAAACACAGCTCATACCTCTTGCATTGATTTTATCAAGTCCTGGGGCCTCAGAGATTCTGAGTTTTAATTTCTGACAACCACAGATGGATGCAGGAAAAATTACTTTTAATTCTCAAAACATTTACAGAGCCAGGATAAGATGCAATGGTTTGAAGTGAGGACAGTGGAAGACTGGTAGACTGTCTCTCAGTCATGGAGGTGGACATGCACAAAGAATAT